TCATTGATCGCTGAATCTTTTTTCTGTTCTTGCAGATGCACCACCCCATCCAGATGAAGCCTGCAGACAGTGAGAAGTCCAACGGTGAGCGGGCGCGCGTACACACGCGCTCCAAAACCAGAAAAGAACAAAACGGAGTCGTGATTTGGACAAGAAAAAAGAACCCAAAAAAGTCATTCCAAAAGTGCAGAAAGAAAACGGAATCTGAGTTGATCTTTTGTGGTTTTGGAAAGGGAAAAAAAATCCGGTCATGAATAGATTTTTTTTTTTTTTGATTGCATGAAAAATGTTTTGTTTTTGAGAAGGATCGTTTTTTCCAGAAAAAAAAAAAACAATTCTATTCATGAGAAAATGACCTTTTAGTTTTGAAAAAAAGCATCATCTCACAAATGACATTTGTCCACAATTTACAACACGGGAGTCGGTTTGAATGAAAGCGGCCCCGTATTCTGAGCTTGGGCCGGCTTGGAATCGAAATCCCCAAATGCGCCGCCATGAAAGAGGAAGTGGCGAGACGCAACGGAATCTGAGTTGATCTTTTGTGGTTTTGGAAAAGAACAAAAATTCGCTAATGAATGGAATTTTTTATTTTTTGATTGCATCAAAGATGTTTTGTTTTTGAGAAGGATCGTTTTTCCAGTCAAAAAAAAAAAAAAAATTCTCTTCATGAGAAAATGACCTTTTGGTTTTGAAACCCCAAAAAAGCGTCATCTCACAAATGACATTTGTCCTCAAGTCACAACACGGGAGTCGGTTTGAATGAAAGCGGCCCCGTATTCTGAGCTTGGGCCGGCTTGGAATCGAAATCCCCAAATGCGCCGCCATGAAAGAGGAAGTGGCGAGACGCAGCGGTCGTGTCCGGCGGATGCCGCTCCTCTTGGCGCTTGCCGTCAACGGGATCCCAGACGGAGCCGGCGACTGACGTTTCGTTGGCGTTTCCGCACCCGTCCCGGCGGGCCAACTCGCCCCCAGAGGGTGCCCTGAAACAAAAACAATAGAGTGACAGCGCAGACGGCGCCGCGACTTCATCAAGCGGGAAAGTTGGCGCGGTGAATTATGGAGCGGTGCGCACTCCACGCGTATCCATCCACTTAACGCTAACGACCTGGAAATAAAGCCGGCGTTAGCGTGATGAATGGCTGCCGCGGGCTCTATTAGGCCGCGCCGCACCGCCGCCCGACATCGCAGCGTCCGCGCGGTTCGCAAAAAAACGAGAGAGAGCGAGCGAGTGCCGTAAAACTGAATGGCGTGAGGGTCCCTAAAGTTGCCGCTCGGATTACAGTGTGCTCGCGATTGGGATTCGCTTACCTTTGTCGATTTTGCACTCGCTCTGAGCTTCGGGTTCGTTGCGAAGGAGGCCTTGTGGATTTCGCTTCCAAGCCAGCCGCCAGCAGAAAGAAATTGAGCGTTTCAGCTGCCTAAACGGGCCGGCGTCAGTCAAGTTTGTCTCGTGAAAGAAGAAAGTACCGCTACTTTTCTGACATCGTCTCCGAGCGACCAAACGGGCTGCCGGAAATGAAGGGCGTTGGGCTATGACAAAAAAAAAACAAAAACATTTTTGAGGAGACCAGCGGAGGGAACTGAGGACAGTTAGCTAGCTGAACGGGCTGCGGTAAGTGAAGACTGCCGTGCGCCCTGCCCCAAGATGCGTCGCGGCCTGCGTCTCGCTTGTCACATGATCTGCTCTGGATTAAATCAATTAGCGGCTGTTGGCAACGGCCCACGCACGCACGGCGTGGCCTAGACGGGTAGGAAATGAGAGTCGGCGTAGCCAAGCGCCACTTATCTCCTTTCTCCTTTTTAAACACACAAACAATCCGCCGAGCCAAATAAACAAGCGCGCTATTGATTTCCCAGAGTGCAGCGGAGCGCTCATGTGCTTCGCCTCGCGCCCGCCGCTGACGCTCGCCTCATTAAGAACGAATTGGGTTAGCGCCGTGCGCGCGCACGGCGCGGACGGAAGAGCGCCACCGCGGTCACCTGTCGTTGGGAAGTCGCAGTGGCCGTCGCGGCGTTGAGGCGACAAACGTTTGCTTCCTTTGCCTCGCTATGAGTGGCGACGGGCGACGCGAGGTGCCGGCTTCCCATCTCATCGTCAATGAGATGCGAACCCCGCAGGTTAGCAAGCAATATTTGCAAGTCGGGATGGATCGGTTTCTCGCGCTGCTCACCGACGATATCTTCCCGCGCCTCTCTCGCCGGACTTCCGACGGGGTCGGGGACGATTCGAGTGCATTGGGCGCGTCGCGTCGCCGTTTTTTTTGTCAAATGAAAATCAGGATGACGTTACCGATGTGTTTTATTTTGGGGGCGGGCTTCTGGCGGCGCGCGCACCAGTCAGCCCGCGGCGTCCGCCGTTCGGGCCGGGAGGCCGGCGCCGGCGCCGTCTCTCCTTTCGAAGTGCGACGGGCAAGCGCAGCTCGCGGCCGGCGTGACCGCCCGCTCCCTCTCTGTCCTCCCAATGCAGCGGTGGAAGACCGGAAGTTGTTCATCGGCATGGTGTCCAAGAAGTGCAACGAGAACGACATCCGGGTCATGTTCTCGGCGTTCGGCCAGATCGAGGAGTGTCGGATCCTGCGGGGCCCCGACGGGCTGAGCAGAGGTGCGTTGCGTCGCCGGGTGGCGGGAGCCGCAACAGCCCCCAGAAAACGGCCACGCCGCACAACCTCCGGAAAGGCGGAGGCCACTCGCCCATTTTGGACCTTCCCCCACTTGACTTGGACCTCGACTTCCGCGCGCACGACTTTTCCGCCCGGATCGGGACTCTGCCTCGACGCATTGACAGACCGTCGGGATTCACACGACTCTTGACGACGTCGTGCCGACCTGAGACAAGCACGTTGGGGTTTTTGGGGAGGGGTTTTTTTTTTCTCTCTCTTCAGTCACTCCATTGGCCGATTTCGGCACACGGCCAAGTACGGTCTTGCGACTTTTTATTTTGAACGCTCAGTTGTTGCTCGTTTCATTTTTCGAGCTGCGAATGAAGCTCTCCGTCATTTGGAGCGCAACAACATTTGATGAGTCCAGTCGATGTTGTGACCGAGCAGGGTTCGTTCGTCATTGACTCGACTCGTACGATTTTGGAGGCTATCATACATTTTTTGGGGTGGGGGGGTTGAGACTTGAGACTGCCATGTGACATCCCCCCGCCACGTCCGGTTCCGGTCCCGTTGGACGTGGACCTTGGAGTGACATCTTGGGGCTGTTGTGGCTGCTGGGAATATTTTGGCTCTCTATAGCATCTTTCCCTCTCTGCCCCGCCCCCTTTCTCCTGACCCCCCCTCC